CTATCTACTCAAGCAAGCAATCAAGTACAAGCATTTCCTCCATCATCAATCAAATCTAAATTTACCCTAATGAACATTATAAGTAAAAGCAGAGCAAAAACCAAAGTAAAGAGCTTTAAAACTAAATACTCATTCTTCCATTGCGTAGACGATGAAAAACGGAGTCAAAAGCTCGAAATTTGAAAGAAACCGAAGTCGCCGGAAAATCTCCCGGAAAATAGCATAAGCTCCTAATCTAGAGAGCAAAAATAAAACATAAACTAATTTCCCAAAGAGGAAAAGTGAAAAATGAGAGTTATGTCTAAAAAATACAAAGCATAATGTCATTATATAGCTACACCACAAACACACACTAAAACACACACATTTAACAATTTAGCACTCGCTAGGTAGCGAACTAGTTCGCTAGGCGAATTGGTCTTGTGGTCTTGTGCACACTCGCTAGGCGGCGAACGTGTTCGCTATGCGAACTGGTCTTGTGGGTCTTGTGCACACTCGCTATGCGGCGAACACGTTCGCTAGGCGAACTAGACTTTCGGATCTCTTGCGCAGTAATGACTCGATAATGGCTCGGGGGTTATCGAAATGGTTCATGCTCTCGGAATTTGGCTCGACTCTCCTCTTTCATCTTCCAAAATGGACCTAAAAATTGCACCAAAGACACGAGAAAGTACGCCAAAATACAAACACCAAAGAGAAAAAGGAAAACACACGGAATCAACTAAAATGGACCGGTTAGACAAGAAAACCAACCTAAAACCGACTCAACTACACACATAACACACATAAAAAGAAGCACAAAAACACAATAAACAACTCCCCCACACTTAAATCTTTGCTTGTCCTCAAGCAAACAAAACAACAAGTAGTGTTGAAAGGAGAGATCAAGCGGTCCAAGATCAACAAACATGCATTATGTACTCTCCTAATCACTCGATCGGTTATTTACAAAATAAAACTCAAACTCGAGAACATGGTTCCCACATGTGAATCCAACAAAACAAAAACAAGTCTCAAGTTATTCAGTCATGATTTACTCAATGCAAACTTCCTTCTACATTAAACACGTGCAAAAAGCTCAAAACGGTCTACTCAATGTATAGGATAATAAATTCGAGACCATAAGCCAACCCCCATTTTTCTTTTCATTTTTTTTTCTTTTTTTTTTTAATGAGTCACTTTTTCCAAATGGAAGTCGTTATAACGATTATTACCTAGGTTTAACCTCGGGGGTTATTCCCGAGTCGCCTAGGACGATTTCCCGTGCTCATTGACCCGATCTATCTAGAAGATTAACCGAGCCAAGAGGAGCCTAATCCTTTCGACTCCCACGAACTCATTTCGTGAGCTTCTCTTTCCAAACGAATTCCGGACGAGATTCCCTAGGTTTAACCTCGAGGGGTTTCCTCGAGTTTCCTAGACCGGTTTCCCGGGCTCATTATCCCAATCCACTAAGTAGTTCGGAATAAGAGGAGCCTAATCCATACTTCCTCGCGAACTCACTTTTTTTTTTTAGGGTGGCACACAAAGGTACATCACAAATACAATCATAATCATAAAAACTCAATCACGACGTACACAAAGTGTATAGCATAACACGTATAATCAACAATCGAACATAAGGCAAGCATGATCAAGATCCTCAATCAAGAACGAACAAAGGACAAGAAAGTGTTGTGAATTCACATGAAAGTTCCAATGCCAACAAATAATCATTTCATTTTATAAAAACCGTCAAACTCATTGAACACATAAAGCATGAGAGTTAATAATGAACACAAACGACAATCCAATCTAGCCACTTAGTCATTCCGAGCAATTGGACTCACATCAATTCTCATATGGGGAAATCGACACAAAACACACAAAAACAAACAAAACTGTTGTAACCATTTTTGTTGCGATTTTTGTTATTATTTTATCATTCTTTTCTTCCC